CTTTATTTTCTTATGCATAGTAGGAGTGGAGTTATTGCTTTTGTTAGTCCCAGGCTATGCTTATGCTACAAACGAAACCTGTTCAATGAACAGAATCTTTCATGTGGTGAAAATTTATGGAGAGTGTATTTTGATTTTGAACAATCTAAGTCAAATGGTAATACTTTGATTAAAATTTAGGTCAGATGGAAAGACAATGTTCCAGACTTACAAAAAACACCTATTCATCTTCTGTTAGGAGAGTCAATGTTCTGACTCAGCTGGCTTGACAGGTTAGTGTTGTCTGACATGGCTCAAGTATGTACCGTTAAAAATCAAGATTGATGAGTGGGCAACACAGAGAGATTTAACTGCATTTTCCTCTGAATCAGCTCAAATGAAAATCTTTATCTTCATTCTTGAGAATGAAGATTTCATTCTTGATTTCTCTGGTTTAATGCCTCAAAGAAGCAGTCATAGATGTTTAAAATGCATGTCATCAGAATTGATCCCCTTTCCCATACTTTGTGAACTTCCCAAAAGAGGAAGTATACCAAGCAGTTCCTGATTGCAGTTTTGGGAAGGCAGAATATCTGTGGGCTGAAAGAGAAGATGTAGCCATTCTTGAGGATTCTTCTTTACTTTATAACAAGGTCATTTCTTCCATCTTCCTTTTTAGCCAGTGCAAGGTGGGAACCAGTGGTATTGCACCTCTAATAGTGGATGTTTCTTGCCACCTTCCAAAAGCACTGATGATCAGCACCTGATTTGCAATTTGGAAATGCACCACCACCTCATATTTTCAAGTCTGTGTGATCTTTGAAACAGTAATTTTCATAACTACTACCATATGCAGCCAGGGATGCTATTTTTTCTTTAGAACTGAGCTGTGGTCTCAGCATTCTCAGCATTTGTTATCTTTCTCTTAAATATTTACCAGATCTTTTGTGTCTGTATATGTGTGTGTCTTTGCAGAACTTCGAGGGAATATAGGATATAGTCAAGGACTAGGGAGAAAAGTGTTGATACTTGCTGTAATAAATTGCTTACTCTGTTCTCCTCTGTTTTGGACTCTCTCAATTAGCTCTGTCCAAACAATCTACTTTTTATGCAGCTATATAGATATGTAAGAGTTCAGCAGAGACTGACAACTGTGCTCTAGTTTCTGAACTAGCTAAAATAGCACAAGCCTCAGTAACTTTTCTATCCACTCACATATTTTATGTGTGGATTTTTTTTTCTTTAAAAGCAAATAAATTGTTCTCATTTTAATTTTTAAAATATAATAAAATGTATTATCCTAACTGATATGATACAACAGATGGATAAAACTTTATGATAAAAAAAAGAATATGTTGTCATCTACAGTTTATCAAAGATTTCCTTTGAAATCAGGACTTTGTTTCAAGGATGATTTGACATTCCTTTGTATCACTCATAATGAAATTTAACTATCATGTAGATAGATTTGTATGCATGTTGGCATGTTATTCAATAGATAAAAATGCATTTTGACAAATAACGTATTGATAAAAATACTTGTGTATTTATCTGTATATTTGATTTTATGGGTTTTTTTTAACTCTGTAGTTAATTTAGTTAAACAAAGCACATATATTGGATTTTCTAACTTGATTTTCCTACCCAGTCATGAAGGATCACGAGCTGACAGAATACCAGGGCTAGATAAAAAAAACAGTTTTGGGAGTCATTGGATGTTGTTAAATGCAACTTAGATTGCTGTGGTAGCTCTGAAGAAGGCAGACTTGTTGAAAGCAGGAATAGGGAAAAAAGTGACTTGAAAAAAAAAGCATTGAGTAAATGAAGTCAGATTCAAGTAGCCAAATGAACAAGCAAGGTGTGAGCATCACCTTGTCAAAGCCAGTAATCTTAGATGCCATTAAATATTTAGTGTGATCTATTTGATGAGTCTGGTCCATTTGATCTGCTTCTCACAAGCTCTTTCTTTGGGAGGTCTTTATTTATGATTTAATAGCTGTCCATGAATTTGGAACTTTGAATTAAGAGAATTAAATTTTATTCTTCAGCTGTATTTGGCATTTGATGAGTGTCTGTGCAGAGGGAGATAATTCTTGAATCAGACCCTCACTTCTAATTACCAGCTGTATTAGATAATAGTAGCATATTAGTCCACAGCAATAACTCTGGGGAAGAGACCTGTGATCTGTGGTTGTGACTGAATTATAATTGCCCTGTTATTCCCTTAAAAAGGAACACTTACAGGTACATGGGAAACTGAGTTTAAATAAATGAAACACTACCCCGGAAACATGTTTCCAAGCAAACGCCTTATAGGCAAATGTCTCAAAAAGACATTTCTATGGTCATTTCTCTTCTTAGAAAACAAAGTAGAGCATATTCTTTATTTCATTCTTTAAATTTTTAAATCCATGGAGCTATTTAAATTACAGTAGATTCTCTGAAGAAAACAAAGTAATATACAATAGGAAAGATTGTCTCACTGCCCATTACCAAAGCATAGAATGAACCATTCATATCTGAAATAACTAAATGACCCTTTATGACTGCAAATGAAATTCTATTATATAATGCAGTTACTGTATTGTTTCATGCATTTATTAATGCTTCCTTATTTAAATAACATCATGGACAATGGGAATGACACATATGTTGGCACAGAATGAATGTGACCCAGCAAGATTAAAACAAAAAAAGGGAATGAACATGTTTGAAATTGAGAACTCTCTTTAGAGCCTGAAAGCTTTTTTTTTTTTTTTTTATTAGCGAGATGTCAGTGTATGTTTTCAGTATTTAGTTGAAGCAGGGTAGGAAGAGCAATGGCCCATATGAAATGTTTTTCAAATGCAGTGTATAGCATCAGATTTACTCTTCAGAGACACACCTTTTCCTGTGGTTTCATCAACAGAACCTCAGGGGAATTTTCTGGTTCATTGGTTGGTTCTGTGTTTTTTTGCCCTGTAGCTCTTTATAAGCCTAGGTGAGCTTATAAATCAATCTGCAATTGAAAGGCAATGTCTGGTACTGTAAGCAGTTTCTCAGTGGAGTTCCCAATGACCTTATTGATTCAGGCCTTTATCAATATTTTATTGATTTCACACTGATTTTCTTGATTTGTGAGTTTTCTGACTAGGAAATCTAAGAGGCCTTAGAGTGCTCTGAGGCTCACTGGTTTTGTACCATGTCTAAAAATAAAGACCAGTATCCCATGTAGCAAATCTATGTAAATTTTTAATATGGTTATTCTGGAAAAATATAATTTTCTTAACTCGGTAAGCAAGTTCCCTGAAATGTCTGTGACAGATATTTACCTCACCCACTCAGGTCCAGCGCATTAAAACCCCCTTACAGCCTTTTGCTCTGAAAAGGAAATCAATATATAGATGGGAATATTATTATTCTGTGTCAGTATTGATGACCCAAAACTTTATCTCAGACAGGTAAATCTGGTGAGAAAGCTCATATTTTTTTCACAGTTCTAATGATCTTTGCTAGCATAAAGTCAAGTTAATCTATTACCTAGCTGTGGGATTGAGTAGACCTTTGGAGAGAATCAGTAATGGAATACCTCCATACAAGTCCTAGATACCAAACAGCTGACTACATTTCAGATCAACCTCTAGACTGCTTTCAGCTGCAATTGGAATTGCTACTACTAGAAGGCAGAAAAAGTGGAAAAACCTAGTTTGCCTCAATTCTTAGTTGTTATACGTACATACTAACTTTAGCTATAAATAAAAGGAACATTTTGAGATGGTTGTGGTGTATGCTTAATATCCAGTTTTCAGAGTTCCCAAAGCAATAGGCACAAATTTATGTGCCAAGATACCTTTCCTGTTGAGATCCTATGCAACTTTGGATGCCTAAGCCTTCAACTGACACTTCCAGAGGCATTACAAGGCATTTGCTCAGTGGTTGCAGGGTGATATCTGTTTGATTAAAAAATAATTGTTTTTCCTCAAGCAGTCAATGCTTGGGCAGGATCACTTATAAAAACTCTTTTGACCAAACTCTTTTGAAAACTCTTTGGGGCATCTTTGCTTGATTTTAAATCATTGTTGATTGCCTCAGTTCACTATCTGCTTATCTCCAAAGCATACCTGATGTGGACACATAGTCACAAATACTAGCCGTGCCTCGAGTATACTGATAATAGTCAAAGTTTCTCAGTACATTCAGCCAAAAATCAATCATCAAACCCGCTGTATTAAATGTTCTTGCACCAATCTAGGAGGACAACTAATGTGGAAAGATACAAATTATTAGGTTTCTGTCTGCATTATTTTACCAGAGGAGTACTTTGGAAGAGTGTTTTATTTTACAGCATCCCTTACACAGGGCATATTTTTATTGACTGTAACAGAGCCTGACATCTGAATCCGCTTGGTCCCTGGCAGTGCTGTGGTATCAGGTAGCTGAAGCCATCTCCTGGTTACTGTCGGGTGAGGCCCAGAGCGACTTCTTTCAGCAGCTGAACTCCACTCGGCAGAAACTATTCTTTTCCACCCAGACTTTAGCCGCTGTGGAGGCCGATTCCAGCCGGCTCTTGCCGAGCATCACCCGCGGCGTTCGGGAGCGGATCAGCACCACGGCCAGCGCCCCGCGGCCGCCCGCCGCCGGCGCCCAGGGGAGCCCAGGAGCGCGCAGGAGCCGCGGGAGAGGGAACCCCTGCCTCCGTGCTGATGCTTTTTATGGGGACCAGACGCCAAACAAAAGGTCAAAACATGATATTTGACCTCCTCAACTATATTTTAAACAGAGGAAAGGACAAAGCTCTTTCACAGACACAAATGGAATAGAAAAGACATTTATGTGTTTCCATCATGCTTCTCACAATGTTAGACTGAAAGCAATTGGTGCAGGTTAGGTTGCAGCATAGGTTTCTTTTTTCTCCTTATTACAGTAAGTGGCAAATATTTTTTGTCGGCTGAGGGCAAAGGTAACTGCTGCTGATTGCCAGACCTAGTGTTAAATTAAGGAGCTGAAAGAGAAAAAGTATAAGGGGGAGGAAGTGACACATTATGTTCAAAAAGATCCATTCTATATTTCACCCCAACTCCCAGCGAAGAAACGTGACAGATGACATCCCTTACAGTGATGGCGCTGGTTCTGCAGTGAGATTGATCCGCAGCACTTCTATGTATGTCCTTGGAGGTGAGCAGGAAAAAGTTAGTGAACCACTAAAAAAGTGCAGAAGTACAGCCAGCATCGACTCTTGCTTTCAGCCAAAAGAGGAAGACAGAGACTGGATGTATGCTAAGACTCAGGACTGCTTGAAGTACCTACAGGATCTGCTAGCCTTGAGGAAAAAATATCTTGAAAACATCAATAACTTGAAATCCATGCATATGGCTGCAGATTCTCCAGCATCCACAAGATCATCCAAAACTGGAAAAAATTCATTTCTTCCACTTCCTTCCAAAGAATCTTCTAAGGTAATTTCCAAGAACTTTTGACATGTGCTTAGTCTTAAGCAACAAAATCATTTGAGTTATATCACCTGTATTGGTTTTCTGCTTTATTGCTTTCAGCTAGTTGTCATTTTATTTTTGTATTATTTGAAATGTTGCTAAATACCTTAAGATTCTTTCTAAGTTGTGTAAAATTAGAAATTATTGGCTGGTCATAGAAAGAAATGTATATGTCTGTCTGAGGGGGGGAAATGTTGGGAGAGAGAAAGTAGGAAAAAGTTATGAGAGTATGGAAAACATTATAAAAGAGCAAGCTCTGACATTCTATTTAATTACTTTTGAGTCCTTCACTATGATTATTTATAGCTGTTAATGACTGACAAATGCAGTAAACCATGGATTTCCTGGCAGTCTTGTTATTGACAAAATTACTTATACAAAATAATTATAAATTCACTGAAACAAGGAGGAATTTTTTTTTTTCCCTGAGTGGTCAGTTAACATGTCAGTGCTAAATTTAGCATCAGTGCAGCCTCTTCTGGTAGAATATGGGACATGAGGAATTCTTAAGGTTTCCTTTCTCTGTTCTTGAGTAAGTTGGTGGGTCATTTCTAGATAGTGTAATTCTTCACCCTTTACTGTAATGATAATACAAAAATAAAACTGGAATATCATCTATGGTGCAGATTATTTTATGGTGTAGATGTATCCTAGAATTAAAAGTTTTATAGGTTAGCATGTTACTAGACAGTTCAGTGGTTACTTTGATTCTAGACTTGGTTCAGTGAGGACAAAACAAAGGACTGCAGCAAGTGGGATGATCTGTTTAGGTAACACGACTGCAAACAAGACTTCAACAGGAGACTTGCAGGTTATCCAGTGCAGCCTTTAAGCTGGATAATGATGGGGATGGTGGGAAGAAGGGATGTAGGGCTGAAATTACTGATTAGGCCAGGCTATGACTTTGATTAATGTTGCTTCCATATTTTTTGAAGTAATGTTGCTGCTGAAAATACTGCTTAAGAAAAACACCAAAATCTTAATGTGTTTTTTGACAAACAATTGGATCTCCCACAGTCTGAGGCTAAGAATGGTGTCATTTGACTTTGGCCAGCTAGCCCCTGTTTATGAACAGTCCTGGTAATGACTGGCATGCTCACTCCAACACCCATCTCCTTGGAAACAGACAGGAACATCAGCAGGATATTCTTGCCAACACAAATGGCAGGGTCACAGCTGCACATCTCTGGCTTTGTAAAAATTAGGGAGAGGTCAAGAAGACTTTTACAAGATTCAGCCTATTTTTCTTTGTAACTACACATTTTATGTTCACAGATTGCAAGGTTTGTGTTATCACCAGGCCTGAATGGTTTTGTCCCAAGTTACCTGTTCTTATTAAATTGCCTGTCAGTGGAAATTCAGTTCTTTCTCTAACTTGCTGCAGGATTTATGGGAAGGTAATTTGTCCAGACAAACCTATCCTCATGGGAGTTTTGATCCAAAGATCCCTGGGTCCTGGACTTCAGACTGGCCATGGATTCAAAATGTGCCACTTGTGTCTAGTGGAAAAGAATAGTGGGTCAGATGCTGGGAGCCCATAGGCATGTCTTTAAAATGCCTTTTAACCAATAAGGGCTTAGTCATAATAGCAGTCACTATTTCCAGTAAATGTGTGGTAGCAGCTATCTTTTAACACTTCTGAGGATGTCAATCAACCCATAATGTCAGGAGGGGAATCAGCTAGTTCATATCTCTGCCTCCACAGAACAGGGAACAGTCTGGTCTTTCAGAGCTGTGATATAGCACGTATCCTTTTCTCTCATTGAAACCCAGGGTAGCAATTTTCTGAGCTGCTATTGCAGCCTGACAGTATACCTGACTTGGACTAGCAAGGAAAATATATGTCTCTTCGTTAGGTAGAGCCTGGCAGGAATTATTCATCTCATATGTACCTTCACAATCCCTAACCCAGGTTTTATGACTGCTTCAGCATTTATAGATAGGCATTTCCTTTTTCATCAAGACAGGCTCCTAATTTTAAACTGTGTGGCTTTCCTGTGGGAATTATCACAGTGTTGAATGACTCATATTTTAGTGCATACCATCCTTTTTAATTTCAAAAAGACTTCAGCAATTTAGATCTGGATGAATTTCACCTAACCTAGGCATTTTAATAAGATGCTTAAATTAGTAACAAAGTTACCCCTCAATCCCTTTTCAGCTGAGAGAAAGAGCTGCCTGCAGAGGAGGGTGCAGCCTACTTAAGTCCTGACTCATCTTCTGGAGGTACTGGAGCCCAGAATTAATTACAGAAGGAGCCCTGCATGACTACATTTCTAATGTGTGTCTCCTTAGGAGCCTAGTGCTAGGCAGAATAAATTTGGCCACAAAGCCCAACTGTCACCTAGCCACCCCATTAAATGGCCTGGTACATGGATTCTGAGGGATTTCTTAACACCTGGCCATAGTGCCCAAGTGGAAGATAGTTGCTGTTGAACATGCAACAGGATGGATATTTGTCCGATGATATTTGATATTTGCTGTCCCGTTTTCTTTGATTTCTACACTGTGGAGTAGTCTGGACCTGTGTTTCTTTTCTGACAGCCTGAAGTGTGGCATCAAATACATCTTTTGAAAGGGGTTTGCTCACTAAGAAATCATTCTGCCCAAACCTTGGCTAATTTTTTTCTCCTATTTCTGATCAACAGGCATCCATGGAAACAAAAGGCCCGCAGTCCAGTTCAGATGTAAGAGAAGCAATAGCTTTCTTTGACTCAGTCATTGCAGACCTGGATTCAGAGAGATGGCGGAGAGTTCCTGGCATGGATCTGCCAAATGTGGATGTCGATTTTGATGGTGCAGTATAAACCAGCCAAATATGATGGGTTTTGGTGTGCAGAGGGTAGAGAGAGGAATAGCATTGTGGCATCACATTTGTTTAATTAATTTATTTAATTAATCAGTTATCTTCTAATTTTGCTTCCCAAATCTAGGACCATTACATGCAATATGTACAATTAGAGTAATGCATCACTTGTTCCCTGTTGAATGGATGCAACTATTTTATGTGCAGTCATTACATGGCAAACATAGCATGTGCAGAGTTGAAATAGTGCTTGCCTTCTGCTCAGGGCTGAACTCCACCCTTGCATATCTACCTCAAGCTGTCTTTAGAGAGCTATAAAAATAAAAAATTTTTTTTTTTTTTTTTTTTTTTTTTTTTTTTTTTTTTTGAGAAATGGCTGGGTGACTCCTTTACAACTATCAAAAAATAAGCCATTTAGTGATAAAGCTAAATAACTGGAGGTTTTCATCGGAAAGGATGGGATTGCCCAAAGAAATGAAGATGTGCCAATCTAAGGTCATAATCTCTCCTGTATAATTAGCAGAGGGATATAGATATTTCTCACCTTTCCTTCAGGCTGGGGTGAATAGCTGAAGCAGGTCAATTTAGCAAGGCCCAAGGAATGTATTTGAAAGGGCTATCTTTCATATACATATTTATGCTGCAGGTGTTGAAATTCTAGATAAAATGAATCCCATCTCAAGTGATATCCTGCAGTGAAACAAGGTTTCTCTCTTGATCTCTACCTCCAGGGAGGACCCGGAAAGCACCCTTGCTGTGTTCCCTCACTGTGCAGATAAAAAGGTCACTAACAATCTATTAATCCCAGATTATCTTCTGTTTTTTAGTTGCTACCAGTACGAGTGAACATAGTTTGCATTCAAACTGGATCCTTCGTGCTCCCCGGAGATACTCACAAGATACAGCCCAAGCAGCTAAGCAATCTCAAAGAAACAGTCAGCGGAGAACCACGGGCTCTAGGAAAAGGTTGGAAAGGCATCCCATGTACCTGCCCAAAGCTGTGGAAGGGGCATACAGCACTTTAAAATTTAAGCCTAAAACACGCAAGAAAGAATGTTGAAAGAAGAATGTTCCCTTTTCACTTGAAGAGAGAATATATGAAATCGGGCATGTAAGACCTGATTGTTTGTTTGTTTAAATACTGATCCATCATTTACACTCCAGAAGTGACCTGTGCAGTCACTGAAGGTTCTTTGTAGGGGGCGTATTTTAAGCCATGGCTATTCCAATGTTGGACTCATATGAAGGCTTAACTCATCAAATATTCTAACAATTGTGCCTAACAATACTGCTTTGTCATTCAGCTTGGGTGGAACTTCAGCTTGACAAGCCTTTTTTTCTGCTGTTACAGAAAGCAATGATTCAGAGATTGCCTGGTGCAGTAATTTTTCTTCTGACTCCAGTACTGCAAAGCAGTTCAAGGAATTCAGTGAATATGTTGGAGTTTTTGCAGCAGTGTTTCCAATGTCAGAGCAGTGAAGCAGAATTTTCTCCTGTTGCTTGTAAAAATTTGTATGTGCCATCATTGACTCTATGTTCTGAGAGTATACAGCCACACCGAGATACACTCAGTCTGCAGCATGAGCAGAAAAGCACTGGAGTGAGGGGATCAGCATTAGAAAGTTGTGTCTGGGGGAAGAGTGTGCTCCAGTATGTTTTGTACTCTGCTTGCTATTGGTTCTGTTGTTGGATACATCAAAATATTCACTGCATGCAAAAATTTATGCAACTTTTTTCATGTGGTTACACCAGGTGCTAGTTTTCATCTATTTGAACACCTAGCTGATGAATGTAGACACCAGTGTACACTAGAAAAGCTTAAAGTCATGGAGAACATTTTGTTAATGATTTGTTCTCAGGGGCAGAAGAGAACTTGCAGACAAAGCCACCACATCACTTTGAGATTATACCCAAAATTTGGAATTCTGCTACTCCATCATTAAAGACATTCTATTAGGATGAATGCAGTCTGGAAGTGTTCCTCTTCATCTTGGAGGTGACATGTATTACATGTGATACTTGGAATTAATAAGACACATGCTTTGCCTGTTTTGCCCAGCTCATACTTTGTGTTAAGAATTTGCTAAGGTGTTTGGGACCAAGCTTTTGCTTACTCTGATTTTTTTTAATCTGGCATCGTTCAGCTGGCGCTGGACTATGACAGATGGATGATGGCAGCACTGGTATGACCAGGTGGTGATTTGCTACTGTTTTCTTGTTTCTATGATCAGTAGTTTTTGTGTCCACATGCTTGGATGAATTTCCTAAGGCACTGGCCATCAATAAAGCCCATTTAATATACCAAAACCTCCATAAACCTTGTGCCCTCACACAGAACATTTGGCAGGTGGTAATTCTTGCTGATTTGTGTTCCCAGTCTTTGTGACTAAATTATTCAAAAGGCATTTCTGACATGTGTTGCAAGTATATCTCTGAACTTAATGATCTAGGCCACTTTCTGTCATAAGACAGGAAAGTGCCAAAAAACCCATATGATCCTCCATTCAGAGGTGGCATCTCCTGTTTGATTAAAGCATTTTGATTCTTTTTCTAGTGATGTTTGTGAAGGGGATGGAAGAATTGTTTCTGTAGCACTTCAATTCTGGATGTCTTTTGCTGCTTTTGGCCTAGTTTGCATCCTCTTGAAAATAACCCGTTTAGACAGCATAATTGATACATATTCAAGAAGAGTTTAAATTGAGGTCTGGGTTTTTTCTCCCTGCTGTTGGTGCTTTTCACAGTAGTCTATATCCTTTATACTGTGTTGCTGCCTTTTTACCTCCCCAGTTCTATATTGTCTGCTCTGAGCTGAATGCCCTTAAAAATATTCTGCTTCTGAATGCTGTCACTGAATTCCACTCAGCCAGGTGGGATAGCCAGAGCACAGTGTGTTCCAAACACACCCCTGGGTTCTGGCATGCCTCAAGGCTGCAGTTCCGTGTATGTGTGAGAGAAGGGGGACCGTGCTCAGAACTGTACATTTTTGGCAACTGTGTCACTCTGAAACTCCTCTCCAAACAGAATTTCATACTGAAGTTGCCGAGGAACATTTGTACTGACTGTGTGGGCATCTTTTTGTTACTAGAACCTGCAACATGGATGAGTGCTGACAGAAAATCTCAACATCTTGTTTGAGTTACTATAACAGATTTATGCATGTGCATAATTAAAATACTGATGAGAAGAAAGAAGAAAAGGATTCCAATGTTTTTCTGCCCTGGGATGTGTTTCATGTACATAGTGCCAAGGTTTTATGCATTGGAGTAACTGATCTCTTTTCTATTGTTTTAAGAATGCATTTTGATGTGCAGAACCAGACTGCTTCAACATGTGCGACCTTCCCTGTAACCTCTTGTCTGTTCCTTGTAAAACAGAGACATCTCTGATCATCTGGTTGTGATAGAGGGTGAGAGTCCCCCTGCTGTCCAGCACAGAAGCTTCAGTGTGAAATTTGGTTTGCTTTTATGAATAAGAGACAAAGGCAGGGGGAAATCAGATTTATAATTTCTATTTGGATTCAGTGTTTTTTTACTCTTTTCTTAAAGTTCACTTCAAGCCAGTCATCATCTTAGGAAATTCTAATTAAGCAAGTGAAAAAAACCAGTTTTTCTCTGAGAACATGTTCTATCATCTATCCTAGGACTACAGTCACTTTTCTTCTAGCCCTTGTATAGTCCTCACTGAACATGGCTCAGATCCAACAGAGCTCTGGAGAGCAACCTGTGCACCTTAGGGCACTCTCTGTGGAGGTGGGAGCTGAGGGTTCAGAGGTCTTGTGCTACCTGTGCTAGAGCAGGCAGCTAAGCAGAAAGGGAGTAGGAGAGAGGAAAGGGCAGCATCGCCATCCCCAGTGTCATCTGTCCCCTCAGAGAAGGATTTCGTGTTGATGGCAACACCCTCTGCATTATCCCAAGACAGAACCTTGTCCCTGCCTGGCACTGGCTCACCCTAGGCTTTCTGCACAGCTTCCAGGAGCAGTTGGTTGCCCTACAAAAGTGCTCCCTGTCTGTGCTGAATCATTCCCTCATGGCTTGGCAGGCAGAGCTCTTCGCATGGACACTGAAGGGATTCTGCCACGGGTATGTCCTCTAAATGACCTTGCTGCAACCTGCAGTTATTTTCAGGCATAGCATCCTAGAAATTAAGCAGCTACTAGAGGTGTTCTGACAATGCCAATCACACAGAAGAGTTGTTCATGACTGGCAGAGCTCCACATGACCTAGATCTTTTGAAGAGATTGTTAGTGAGCCCTTTGAGTCATGCCCCCAGGCCGTGGGAGTGAAGGGCATCAAGCAGGAGCTGTATCGATCAAGGTCGCTGTGTGCCAGTGTTCCCTGCAGCACTGATCCCCAAGAGGTTTTTCCCAGAGTGCACAGGAATAATAGGCAAGATCTTTGCAAAAATATCTCCTATTTTGTTGTTTCAAATCCAGCTCAGCTGAAGTATTAGGATGTCAGGTCCCTCTAGCTTGTGTCATTGCTGAGTACTAGCTCTGAGGGGGCCCTAGCTTCATATTTCTGTGACACTACATCCCCATCTGTCTTTGAGAAACTAAAGATACTGTGTACAAGAATTAAGCAACTGAAGAGAGGTGAAGTCTGCTGAGGAAATCATGTCCTGGAGGATTCAAAATAATTTTGTCCTTTTGTGTTGAGCAACTCAGTGTAATCACAATGCATGTGAGGTGAAATCGTAAGGGTCTTTGGCAGAAACAGAAGAAATATAGGCAGCTAATGGAAAGTTGGCAGCTGGACAAGATGTAAACTCTGGTTTGAATCTTGCAGTGCCATAAAGTTATGATGAAGGCAGAAGGTGTCAGCATTGCCTTGAGTAATGCAGAAAGTCCTCCAAGGTAATGTATAGAAAAATACATGGTTATCTGCTGCTCCAGCTTTGAGGGGGTGTATTAAAAATATTAGATTCACACCTAGTGGGTGTCTTGAAAATTTTCACAGCTGTTGGGTCAGTTTGTCATTCTGCTTGGGTAAATCTGGGAGAGTGCCTATTGTGATTTGGTGGTGGGGCACGTCCACAAGGAGATGAAAGCAGCACAAAGCTGACCAACCACAGCAGGCAGTGTTTAGGAGGCTTTTGCCAACTTTTGGGCCTGTAGCTCTGAATTATGCCCCCTGTAAAGAGAAAACAGGCTGCATAAAGTCTGGAATGATTCTTTAGCTATTGTGAATTTAACAGGTAGAAAAATGTTCTGGAAGAATTTTTAGGGCAAATCATGACAAATGAGCCCAGCTGCTTCAGACCAGACTGAGAAGCAGAAGCTAAAGCTTGCAGTTTGATTAGCAGCAATTTAGTGCATGATGACAAGTTTTCTACTACTAGGCTTGTTATATTAAAATATTGTCCATCTTTTATAAGGCAAGACCAGGCATCACCACCCAAATGACTCTGACTGATACCCTGACTCCTCACAGAAGATGAGGTAACCTATTAGAGAAAATGTAAAAAGAATTTATGGAATTAAAAGTGATGTATTCCACCCTTTTATTAAAGTGAGATTGAGAAGGAAGCAAGACTTTGCCAAGAAGCTCATGGGCGCTGACAGGGAGACACAGTGCATGACACCTAAATAAAATAGGTGATTGAGCACAAAACCCACAATTAAGTACTGGGGACTCTCACTTACAGCATCAGCTGTTGAAAATTTCTAGAAAGGTAACTAAAATTGTGCCTTGGCCACACGGTGGCAGTTCATTCCTAGCTATTCTGCAACTCTCCTATTTCTGTGAACCACAAGAGGACTGCAGATGAAAGTAAAAGGGAAGTTTTACTTTGCTTCATCAAGAGACAGTCAGTGGGTATCTGTTATTCACTTCTGGGCTCCTTATTTCCCAGGCAGTTTTTTAGCAGTTTCCAATCATCATTAGTTTTTTAAATGAGTTTACTTTTCCAGGGAGAGATTTCCTTAGTATATAAACAGCCATGACATCACAGGGGACACTGAGACCTCAGTAAATCATGGCTGAGATTGTGACCTCTTGCCTTTGACTGTGTCTGGAAACAAATGGACAAAGTAATGTCATCACTGGGAGTAATACACTCTTAAGGTACAGAAAATACAAAGATTGATTAAAAAAGGATGAACAGAGGAATTTAACATTCAGAAGATCAGTCTTGAGATAGGTTTGAGCTAAGGATTCTGACCTGATTCTGGAGTTTCTTCCAAGGCCAAGGAGATTCAATATATCAGGTTTCCAGCTTCTTGAGGTTAGTAATGCTGTTATTTCAGAATTTACTAATTCAAGCAGTTTGGTTAGTCAGAAACTAACCTGCTCCCATTCCTGCATCAGCTGCTGGTATGTCTTCCAGGGATATGTTTATGTTTAGGGCATGAAAGCTAAACTTCTAGAATTTTTTTCCTCTGTTTTATGCCAAAACACTGTTTTAAAGGGGAATAAAAGGAAGACGTCTTTGCACTGCTTATGACCACAAGTCAGCCTGGCAGATTTAGATGGCTCTGTGGTCTCAAAATATTCAGGTTAATAATAAGGTTCCCTGCATTAAAAAGACCCATCAGCCCTGTCACTGCTCACATGCAGGCTCTCAGTCTGTGCTTGGTTGTGGCTGGATGTGACACTGAGTCCTTTCTAATTGGCAAACATGCTGCCATCCAATTCAGGTATTTGTATGTGGAACAGCAAGGGGAGAAGTGGCTGGATCAAGAATAAACAAGCTGTTCCCAAGTTAGAGCTAGCTTTAGTATCACTTCACTGAGAGAACTGATTCATAGCCTTCTCACCGTTCAATAGCTTCACTTTTCAGTTTCCAATATGAAGAATTAATTTTACCACCCTCATGTCAGGGATACAGATCATTGCTGTGCCAGGAAAGTGAGGGGTTTGGTGGAAGGACTCTGGTGCAAGTAGAGCTGACCTGTAATTGCAGTTGAATAAACCCAAGTGAGTACACTTGGGGCAGGATTTGCAGTCACCTTAAGTGGGATTTTCAAAAGGCACGTAACTAGCATCAGTGGGAGTAAAGTGACTCTGACAAATGCACTGGTGCCTGACTGCTTCTGGAAAAGCTGGTGTGGAGCCAAGCTTGAGCAAACACAGCTTCACTTCTAGGAAGTAAATTAGACTGACGACAAGTCTAGAATTAGGCCAGTCTTTCTGCCTGTAAGCCTACCAACTTTAAGCTCTGGAGTTGTGACATTCTGAAAGGACTGTCCCACAGCTTTGACAGATTTCTGCAGCCTTTGCTGCTCTCTTCCTGAAGGGCTGTGGTTGTTACTGATCTTCCCATTTAATTTGAACCCCAAGAATTTGTTGACACTGCTCCTCAAAGTTCAGTTACTCACAAAACCAGAATTTGCATAAATG